TAGGGTTTAGGGTTTAGGGTTTAGGGTTGCTGCGCAGAAGCGGGGGGCCCTCTACGTGGCAATGGTCTCCAACGCGGGCCTCACTGCCCCTCGAACTGCTCATGTTTATTTTGCTTCTCAAGAAGCAGCAGACGAGGCCCTTGCGCAGGGAGCAGAGTTCACGTGAGGGTTTAGGGTTTAGGGTTTAGGGTTTAGGGTTTGGGGTTTAGGGTTTAGGGTTTGGGTGTGTTTCGGGTGCGTTACTACGTCGTTCGAGGCTTGTGTGCCGTTCCCGCGCGTGGCGCGCGCCTGCACCGCAGGGGCTAGGGTTTAGGGTTTAGGGTTTAGGGTTTAGGGTTTAGGGTTTGCGCGCAGGATCGTGCGTTTGAGCGCGGGAGAAACCCTCAGCGAGCTGCGGCTGCTGCTGCAGCAGCCAAAAGAAATTGGCCCTTTTGTGGCTGTGTCTTTAACTCCTCCAATTGCTGCTACTCTTCAGAGACTCCACAAAGACACAGATGCTGCTTGGGAGCTGATCCGCACGCTGGGTCCGCTAGGGTTTAGGGTTTAGGGTTTAGGGTTTAGGGTTTGGGGTTGGGGAGGGTTTGGGGTTTAGGGTTTGGGGTTTAGGGTTTGCGGTTTAGGGTTTGGGGTTTGGGTTTACGCGGCTGCCGCCGCGTGGCCTTGGGCTGCTCTTGGCGCTTTCGCTGCTGCTGCTGCTGCTTTGATTTGCTGCTGCATTCATTTGCTGCTGCTGCTGCTGCTGCTGCTGCTGCAGACGCGCAGCTGGACGTTTGTCCTGCTGATGCTGCTCATCCGCTGGAAGACATTTTGGACGGCATTGAGGACCCTTGGCTGTCCGTAGACCTCAAACCCTAAACCCTAAACCCTAAACCCTAATCCTAAACCCTAATCCTAAACCCTACTGAACCCTCAGCGCTTGTTTGGGTCCTGTGCCTTGAGGAGCAGCGGCGGAGCTCGAGGGTTGCGGCATTTACTGAGGGTTTAGTGGATGATTCGCGCTTAGGGTTTAGGGTTTAGGGTTTAGGGTTTAGGGTTTGGGGTTTTGGGCTTGCAGGAGGCTTGACTTGATGCTGACGTATCTGCGCCAAGTTCACTGCATATGTTACTACAGTGGAAAGGTGTTTTGCAAACCCTAAACCCTAAACCCTAGATCGTAGCCCGCGCCGCTGCCGAGGGTTTAGGGTTTAGGGTTTAGGGTTTAGGGTTTGTGCTGCAGGTCTACGACGATCCGCAGCAGCTGCACCTGAACGCCACCGCGGGGCACTTGCGGCCTTCCTGCCCGCCGCAGCTGCAGCACTACCTGCAGCAGCAGCAGCAGCAGCAGGAGGAGGAGCAGCAGCAGCAGCAGGAGGAGCAGCAGCAGCAGCAGGAGGAAGACATGCCGACGGACGGCGCCGCGAGCAGCAGCAGCAGCAGCAGCAGCAGCAGCAGCAGGGGGGTCTCGCAGCAGCAGCAGCAATGGGCGCAGCAGCTAGACCAGCGGCTGCAGGTGCTGCTGCACATGGCAGCAAATATGAGGCAAAATTTGCCTCCGCCTTTAGACGAGCAAGAGAGTCCCATAATCCGGAGCAAGTGGCTGGCTTTTTGCGAAGAAGTAAACCCTAAACCCTAAACCCTAAACCCTAAGCGCCAAACCCTAAACCCTTTTCGGGGGTTTGCACGCCCAGGGCTGCGCGGAGAAAGCCGCAGCGACTCGCGCTGTTCTCCAGCGGCTCGAGGACTCGGCGTTGAGGTTTGGAGTTTGGGGTTTAGGGTTTAGGGTTTAGGGTTTAGGGTTTAGGGTTTAGGGTTTGCGCGCAGCACACTTCCAAGGACGCCGAGGGCCGCTACCGCTGCACTCTTTGTCAGAAGCTTTTTAAAGGCCCTTCTTTTGTGCATCTTCATCACAGGAAAAAACACGAACGCGAGCTCACTAAAATCATCAACAAAGTAGGGTTTAGGGTTTAGGGTTTAGGGTTTAGGGTTTGGGGTTTGGGGCTCACTGGGAGGGAGTGCGCGGCAGCGACGTGTCCAGCCCACAGCAGCGGGAATGACAGTGGTGTGGGTAGTGGTAGGGCTTAGGGTTTAGGGTTTAGGGTTTAGGGTTTAGGGTTTAGGGTTTGGTGTTTTGCAGTACGTGCCGCACCTAATGAAAACTGCCTACATGAATGATCCTAATAAACACATTTGGAGGGTTTGGGGCTGGCGAGGGTTTGGCGGGTCGAGGCCCGGGCGAGCGAGGACTGGCTAGGGTTTAGGGTTTAGGGTTTAGGGTTTAGGGTTTGGTGTTTTGCAGTACGTGCCGCATCTAATGAAAACTGCCTACATGAATGATCCTAATAAACACATTTCTTTACCTCAAGAGCGCCACAGAAGAGATCGCGAGCGGCTAAGGCGGAGGCCCCCGCCGCCCCCCCCCGGCCTTTTCATCCGTAAACCCTAAACCCTAAACCCTAAACCCTAAACCCTAAGCTGTTCTCGGGCCGCTGCAGCTGGCGGCTGCAGCACGCGCTCCCCCGCAGGATTTTTAGCCTGCGAGGAATGGCGCAAAGAATGCTCATCCTCAAACCCTAAACCCTAAGCCTCAAACCCTAAACCCTAATCCTCAAACCCTAAACCCTAATCCTCAAATCTTAAACGCTTTTCTGCTTCCCATAAACCGTAATAATACTCAAACCCCTAATTCTAATTCTGAATTTCTAAACAATTCTCAAACCCTAAACTAAACCCTAGTGCTCAACTCCAAAGCCTAACTCTCAAACTCCAAACCCTAATCTTCAAACCCCTCTCAAACCCTAATCCTCAAACCCTTCTCAAACCCCAATCTCCTCAAACCCTGCTTCTGAAACCCTAAACCCCAATTCCCAGCCCGTAAACCCTAATCTTTAGAACCAGAAACCGCAGCCAGCAAACCCTAAGCCCTGGCGCACAAACCCTAGACCCTAATTGACAAACCCAAAGCCCTAGCCCACAAACCCTAAACCCTAATTCACAAACCCTAAACCCTCGCTGCGTTTGCCTGCAGCGGGGGCCCCCCCTCCACCCCCTCTTGTGCTGCCGCCGCCCCCGGGGGCCCCCCACTTGAGGCGGCAGCGGGACTGGGACTCTCCTTACGGGCCTACTGCTGCGCCTCTGGTGAGTCTTTCTAGCTAGCTAGCTAGCTAGCTAGCTGGCTAGATAGCTAGCTAGCTGCGCATCAAGCAGCTAGCCAGGTGGCTGGCTAGCAGCGGAACAAGTGGCTAGCTGGGCAGCTAGCTAGCGAAGCAGCTAGCTGGCTAGCTGGATGGCACGCTAGCGATGCAGCAAGCTGGCTGGGTAGCTAGCTAGCTAGCTGGCTAGCTAGCTAGCTAGCTAGCTACTGAGCAAGGAAGGCTCTGTGTGCTTCGCTTTGATCCCGCAGGCTGTCGCGAGGCCAACCGCCAGCTACGACGACCTATGAAGATGGTGGCAGCTAGTGGCTAGCTGGCTAGCTAGCTAGCCAGCCGGGTAGCTGCTGACTAGCCAGCTAGCTGAGTAGCTGCTGACTAGCTAGCTGGCTGCCTAGCCAGCTAGGAACCTGCTGACGAGCTAGCCAGCTAGCTAGCTAGCTGGGTAGCTGCTGACTAGCTAGCTGGCTAGCCAGCTAGGTAGCTGCTGACGAGCTAGCTAGCTAGTTAGCCAGCTGGGTAGCTGCTGACCTAGCTAGCTAGCTAGCCAGCTGGCTAGGCGGCCGCGTGGTCGCATAAAAGGCTAGCCGCCGCGTCCGCCGAGTGGCTAGATGGCGGCGCCTAGCAACTAGTTCCCCAGCTAGCTAGCTAGCTAGCTAAGTGCGCAGCTAGCTGGCTAGCTAGCTGCCTAGCTGGCTACGCAGGCAGCTAGCTAGCTGCCAGCTAGCTGGCTAGCTAGCTAGCCTCTGCCCCGACGCGTCACGGCCACAACTCCTGTTGAGGGGCCCCACAGGGGGCCCCTTTGAATTTATGGGCAGTACCAAGTTGCTGCCTGCAAGGCGGGGGCCCCACAGCTCAGGGGGCCCCCCTAGGGGCCCCCCAGGGCCCCTTTGGGGCCCCTGAGAGGGTACTTGGGGGCCCCTAAATGGTACTTTAACTTGGCAGGCACTTTCATTTGTGAGGTGTACGCAAGCAGCAGCAGCAGCAGCAACTGCTGAGCAGCAGCAGCAGCAGCAACTGCTGAGCAGCAGCAGCAGCAGCAACTGCTGCGCAGAAGCCTCAGCAGCAGCAACTGCTGAGCAGCAGCTGCGGCAGCTAGCCACTGCTGCGCCCCGGTGTCGGAGCGCCACAAATAGCAACCGTAGAGTCGCTTCTCCGGCTAGCTAGCTAGCTGGCTAGCTAGCTGGCTGGCTAGCTAGCTCGTGGGCTGGCTGGCTAGCTAAGGCCGTGGCGCAGCAGGCCCGCCAGCCACGCCTGGCTGGGTAGCTAGCTGCGCAGCTAGCTGCGTAGCTAGCTAGCTGGGGAGTCGACTAGCCAGCTAGCTGAGTAGCCAGTCAGCCAGCTAGCTGCGGACCCAGCTGTCCTGCTGGCTAGCTAGCTGGTAGAATAGCTAGCTAGATAGCTGCCTAGCCCCAACCAACTGGCTAGCTAGGCAGCTGGCTTGCCCCAGTTAGCTGGCTAGCTGACTAGCCAGCCCCCTGGAGAGTCCCAGCCGACTGGCTAACTGGCTGGCCAGGCAGCTGGGTAGCTAGCCAGGTAGCTAGCTGGCTAGCCACGCGGCTCGGTAGCTAGCTAGATGGCTAGCTGGCTACCCAGGTCGCTGGCTGGACCCTGCCATGTGGCTAGCTGGCCAGTCAGGCGACTAGGTGTCTCCAGGTCGCTAGCTGGCTAGCTGGCTGCCTAGCTGGCTAACAGGGTGGCTAGCTGGCTAGCTAGTCCACAATGCCGGTGGCCAAGTCGTCGACGTGGTGGCTCCGTCTTCGAGGGCTCGCCAGGCTAGCTGCCTGGCTGCTGGCTAGCTAGCTACCTAGCTAGCTGGCTAGCTAGCTGGCTAGCTAGCTGGCTAGCTAGCTAGCTAGCTAGCTAGCTAGCTAGCTAGTCGACAATGCCGAGAGCCAAGTCGTCGACGTGGTAGCGCTGTCGGGAAAGTGCAAACAAGTAGCTGGGATCGACTGCTCCCACATCGGTGATGAAGACAGACACCAGCGAGCGGGGCACGTAGTCAAACATTGGAATGCTGCACGCAGCCACACAGCTAGCTAGCTAGCTAGCTAGCTGGCTAGCTAGCTCGATCGAGGGGCAGCTGGCTGGCTAGCTAGCTGGCCAGCTGGCTGCATCGTGGGCTAGCTAGCTAGCTCGCTGGCTAGCGGGGTAGCTAGCTAGCTAGCTGGCTGGCTGGCTAGCGGTGTAGCTAGCTAGCTAGCCAGTTGGCTGGGTAGCGGGGTAGCTAGCTAGCGGGTGAAGTGGCTGGAGGGATAGCTAGCTAGCGAGCTAGGTGGATAGGTGGCTGGCTGGCAGGCTAATCGGCTAGCTGACAGGCTAGCTAGCTGGTTAGCTGGCTGGCTAGCTGGCTGGCCCGCAGGCTAGCCGGCTTGCTGCTTGGCTAGCCAGCTGGTGGGCTGGGTGACTAGCTGGCTAGCTGACAGCTGGCAACATGACAGCCACAAGCCGAGCTAGCCGCCAGGCTGTGCAGGGCCGCGCCTGGCTAGCTAGCTAGCTAGCTAGCTAGGTAGCTAGCTAGCCAAGCAGCTAGCTGGCTAGCCAGGGAAACGTACCTTATGTTGACGTTGCCCATGTTCAGCCCGTCCGGCACTGCCTGCAGATAGCCAGCCACAGACAGCACTTTGGGCAGCTAGCTAAGCAGCTAGCTAGCTCGCTGCGTAGCCAGCTGGCTCTAGCTAGCCAGCTAGCTACCTAGCCAAGCTGCTCCATAGACAAGGAGCCGTCGAGCTAGCTGGCGAGGCGCCAGCTAGCTAGCTGACTATCCAGGTAGCTGGCCACCTAGCTAGCCAAACAGCTAGCCGAATAGCCAGCCAAACGGATGCCTATCCGGCTAGCTAGCCAGCTAGCTAGCTAGCTAGCTAGCTAGTTGGCTAGCTAGCAAGCTGGCTCGCTACCCTGGATAGCCAGCTAGGAAGCTAGCTCGCCACCCTAGCAAGCTAGCTAGCTAGCTGGCTCGCCGCCCTAACTAGCCAGCTAGCTAGCTGACTCGCAACCCTAGCCAGCTAGGCAGCTAGCTAGCTAGCTAGCTAGCTAGCTAGCTAGCTGGAGGCTCACTGCAGCGGGGGGCAGCAGCTCGTTGGAGCTTTGGTTGTCGAAGAAGGGAAGATAAGTCAGTTTGAAAAGAGGGGCAACAGCAATTAAGGGTTTGTTAAAAAAACGAGCAGCAACAGCAACAGAGTTGGCCCCCCCCACAGCCACAAACCCCCCCGAAGACAACACCGCCACAGTTCCTGAGCCACAGCCACGCAAACCCTAATTTAGGGTTTAGCCATTTCACCGCGCGCCGCTCGCAAACGCAAGTCAAACCCTAAACCCCAAACCCTAGCCGCCTCGCGGCGCTCTCATCCACTCCCTAAAACCTAAACCAAACCCTAAACCCTAAACCCTAGGCCCCAAACCCTAAACCCTAAACCCTAGGCACCTAGGAGCAAACAGCGCAGAATCTGGCATAAAAGTGGTTTGAATTCCAACTCCCTGCACTACCCCCTAAACCCTAAACCCTCGTTCTGCGCCAAACCGCACGCCGTAAACGCCAAACCCTAAACCCTAGGCCCCAAACCCTAAACCCTAAACCCTAGGCACCTAGGAGGACTTTATCGACCTTCGGCATGGCAGCAA